AGGAGGAAGGTAATAGTACGTACAATGCACTAGGGTGTGTTGGGATCTGCGCCAAGATCCAGCTTCTCGATTTCCGACTGAGTTATTATATTGCCACGGATTGTAAAAGGGTGCAATAGCAGGAGGTATTCGCTGACGTCGGTATGGAAAAGAAAACTTGTATTTTTGGCACCGTTTTTCAACTTAATCCCGAAGAAAAACAATGCACCGTCGTCGTCCGCGCCGCCGCCACCGACCCAGTTGTATCCGTTAACAAGATGTATTTAAACTAGCTCGGGATATAGAACGTATGATCTTCTTAAAAATACCATTCATCGAAAAAATAAACACGAATTATATATCGTTAGCATTTGACGCGATTAAAATTTTGATACCGTCTGTGAAACGCGGTTTGATAACAATGTGTGTACCCCAATTCGGCAGTCACCGCTATCGCACAAAAAATCATTTGAAAATCGCTTTCAGCAATCGATGCGATTATTGTTTATTTTATGGTATGATGGTTTATTTTTTTTAGAGAAATAAAAAATAGAAACTTTTTAAACAAAAGCTATTTTCCTTAATAACATAGCTTACCAATGTAAAAAAAAGTACTAAATGCTAATCCACTGGATCACTGGATAAGTATAGTTCTTAATTGGTTGGCGATGACGCCGCGACGGGTCGTGAAATGCATCTAATGTATTAAATGTCATCGGAGGTCACGACTTACAACAACTGTGCCTTCCAAAATTGTATGTATACTATGAATTAAAATTCTTTTCCGTTTCAATGCAGTTTGTATGAGTGATTTTCTCGGAATTCCATTGTTTCCTTTGTACAAATCGGTGTAATCAATTAAAAACAATGATTATTTTCCCTAAAATAATCAAAGCCGATCGTAATTTTCCGTGTTGTTTACCTGCCATGGATAGATTACTAATCATTCAGTTAGAAATCGGTTGTGTTCGTAAAAATACATTTTATTAATGTTTTCATTCGTTATAATATTATGACAACAGAATAACAAACGCATTGGCGGTGTTGCGGTCCTATTCTCCAATTTGTTTATTAGTAGACTAATAGGTAATTTACAATATAATAACGTTAACTTTTCGCACATCGTTATAAAATAATATTGGTACGGGATTACTTGACACGGTTCAATGGCGCCCTCCGATTAACTGGTGTAAATAATTCCAAGCGGTCACGTGTCGCTTCGTGTCTACAATAAGGATAATGGATATATTATAATCACTGCAAAGTGCAGATACCGAAATGCCTTCTCCCTCTGAGATATTAATCGGATCCGCCGGTCGATATATATATATATATAGTATAGGTACGTTGGGTAAAGGACTATAGAAGCCCCAATGAACCGAAACGAAATTTCGGTTAACGGAAATGGTTTAGATAGAAAAAAAAAAAAAAAAAAAAAAAGGATTAAAGCTTTGTATTTAGCGAGACCTATCGAACGGTATTATTTATTTCGGAACGGATCGAATAGACTTAAAGTCGCGTTTCGACAGCGCGTGTAGCCGAACACAGGTGAAAACTGTCAATGACAGTCTTTCACCTTCTAAGTTACGTACTATACGAACTTTGATTACCGATATTGTTTGGGATTATGTAGACCAAATTATGTGTACATCCGTGTATCCGAAAACGTTTCCGTAGTGAGGTCAGTTATTAGAAATATCAAAACATTGTTAAATTATTAATACTATTATTAAAATATTGAAAAAATTGTTCTTGGGTAGGTTTTAGATTCTGAGTGTAGCGAAAAATGTATTGGTTTTACTAAGATTTCTTTTTTTTACTGTGTACAAAAATTTGACCATAAATCTCACTCAAATATATACGCGCGGTATCTTTTATAAAAGGAAATTTTGTCCAGATGGTACTTTGAGGGGGTCATTTTTTTAGTTTTCCAAGTGGTTTTCAAAATATTTGTGAAAAACCAGGAAAAAACGTAAAAAAAAAAAAAAAATCGGAAATTTTCGAAAATAATGCTTTTATTATTTTTCAACTTTGTTATTTGCTGTAATTTAGTTTAAAATATTTGTAGAGACTTGAAATTTTCGAGACGTGATAAAATTTTCAAAAAATTTAATTTATTTTTGAGGTAATTGTAGACATTTTAATTTTGAGAGTTTTTTACGTAATATTTATATTCGGTATACGTTCTAATATTATGCGGATATTGTATGTTATTTAAAATAACTCTATATTGTCCTTTTTAAAGCATATTTGTTGTGATGTAATGGCTATGTATGCCAATATATATCACACTAGGGGTTCCGAATTCAAACCAGCGTGACAACAAACAATTGCTTACATTTTTTTTCCCTTTTACCTAAACGGAGAAAAAACAAATGCGTGTACTTAGAGACCTAAACCATCGCTCCCTTGGACTGTTTTAATCGCAAAATACCCCTCGATTTGTTGCACAAAATTTTTCTACCAGAAATCTTGTTCCGATGTATCAAGTGTAGCTTGTTTTCTGAAAAAAATTTCATCTCCGTGGTAATTTAGAGATTTTTGATTTTTCAAGCGGTTATCATAATATCTGGGAAAAACCGGAATAAAATGTCGGAAAAACGGAAAATGTACGAAATGTAGGTATCAGTAAAAAAATACGATGTCCTTTTTTTTCTGTGTACAACTTTTCTACCGGAAATTTCGCGCCGGTTGAAAATGATAGCACCTTTTCTGAAATAAAATCTGACTGGGAAGGTACTTTAAGGAGGTCATTTTTCGATTTTCTCAAGACTTTTCCCAATAAATAGAAAAAATCTTGAAAAAACATGGGGAAATCTGTACAATATTAAACAAATTATTAAAGAAAATATATAATGCCTATTTAATTATTTTACCACAATATGACATAAATATGGTTGACAAATCATCACTATTAACTGACCTGCGCTCAGAATCGTTTTTTCGTAAGCAATGGTTTATCGTTCCTTACAGATATACATTAAATTACCTATAACAGTGGCTGCATCCGTCTCCATTACCCATTATCCTTATCCTCTTTTTTTGGCTTGTTTTTATTTAACTTATCTTAAAACTTTTTAACAAAGAAAACCTACTTGAAAAACTAAACATAAACAAATTTATCCAACAAAAAGCACTAGGAAGTTGAAGAGAATACTTTAAGACTTTTCTTAAAATCCATAAATTAACTTCGGCGCTACCACATTAGCCGTGTAACTACCTCTACTGCACTAAACTTCTCTGTGTTTCAACGTTTAATTGTTCGTTTTTAAAGAAAATCTTAAAAGTATTGTCTTCAACTTCTTAGAACTTTTCGTGTTTTTATTCGGTTAATTTTTTTCATTTTAATCTTCTAAGTTATTAAAGTTATTCAATTTAAATGCAAATTGTAAACTTAATTTCTGTCCTTTAAACTGTACATGTATTACTCTTGTTGAGCAACTCACAATAAACGTTTCGGCGTTGTTTACATCTGAAACACTAAAAATAATATCTCTTACATCATATAGGCTACCTATAATATACCAACGTCACTTAAGTGAGAAGGAAGATGTGACCACGGTTATAGTAACTCGCTCCCCCGTTGCACCAATTGAATTATCGAATTAAACGATTCGACGATGTTAACAATTCCTACATAATAATTAAGTGTCCATGAAAGTCCAATTCGATTTTAATCGCGTTTACATGAAACAACCAGTGAATAATAATAATAAATAAAATAAATAAATATCGTCTAAATGTATGCAATTTATGTATACACATAGGTAAATATACTCTAGAACGGTCGATTTTTTTTTTTTTTTTTTTTTTGATCTTACTAAACTTTATAGCAGTTTATTCTATTCTCGTGTAAAGATATTTTGCGCGCTAAATGTACAGATCTTTCATATAATAAACTGCTTTTTAAAAAATGAAAAATGTTTTCCAATGTGCACGTGATGAGTTTAACATTCATAAAATTGCCACTTTCAATTGAAAATCAATATTAAGGTTATTGATATAATATGCCCATAATATGTTACCGTTAGTGATAAAAATTCTGACGACAGTGAGACTGTCTAGACTGTATCGTTAATCAAACCTATACTATTGGCAGACAATATTAGAAGAGTATAATCGTTCACTATTCACGTCGCTGATAATGGCCGGTTTTCATCATTGACGGTACCACAATAATCGTATAATCAATTCAATACATTAATAATATAATGTGCCAAAATTCAGACTTTGCGTATAGTGTGTGATTGTGTAAACAAGCCATACATGGTACAAAATTAATTGCATGTATTTTGACTTTTACCCGGAGCAGTGTTTATAGCAACTATGACGTTATGTTTTTAACTGCTTTTGATAAAAGAAAGGAGGTTCTCAATTTGGTGTGCGTGTGAAAAAAAATATCAACTACACATATAATTGCCCCCCGTCCCCCCACCCCCAATAAAAGTATATACTGATGCCGTATGTTGATAGGAATTGATTATCGGTTATATATATTAAAGAACAGCTGTTAATTTTCCCACAGTAATATTAATAACGTATGTTGATAAGAACTGATGGGGTTGATAAGGTTGGTTGTAGGAGTGTGTGTGTGTATGCATGTGGAGAGGCGGGTCGCGGACTGCGGCTGCGGCTGCGATCCAAAAAAATGTCTATACTGTTTAGTAACACCGTGGTTACTGAACGTGTGTCGCGTATTGTTTTTCATCAACTGCATAACGTGGTGATACGGTTAAATATGTTTACCGTCGGTGCCTATACAGTACCATGTACTTCGCGGTGTATCACTTTTAATTGTCGACAGTGGGAGAGTAGTGGAGCATCATTTATGTTGCAACACCAAAATGTATTAAATCTAATACGGCTTCTATGTGTGTGTGTTTTTTTTTTTTTTCAAATGACTTCGATTTCTCTTCTTTAGTATAAAATATGATGACAGAATACAATTTTATCGTAAAACGAGGGTATCGGTACAAAACAATTATCGAAGGAACAACAAAATAAAATAAAATAAAATAAAAGCACTATTCATATTAATTTTGTTTAATTCACTAGTCAAAAACATAGTCTAACGAAATAGAGATGTTTCGCTATTATTTCGCGCGTATATAGGCATTATCGAAAATTGAGTGTAGGTAGCTTATATAGCTTGTTCATATTTCGTATGCGAAATGTCGGCGAGTCTGAAGGCATATTTTCACACTGTAAAAAACCATCACTCCAGTAGGTGCGGGAGTATACGACGCACGAAATATTTGCGCAGGGCAACCCGATTCGTTTGAATATCGAAAGGTTCCCTGGTTTCGGCACTAAAAAATAAAATAGAATAGATAACACATTGATTGATAGAAAAAAAAAACATATGTTAATAATATAACGAAAAACGTTATTGATTGAAATTAGTATTTAGGATTAAATTAAATGTTAATACTAGCCGATAACTTTACCCGATGTCTTTAGTACACCACTGTAAGAACGCACTTCACCTATCACCATGGCCACACGGTGATAGGAATACAGAGTGTTCCATTTAAGCAGGTGCAATCATTATCTCGGGAAGAATTATTTTTTTTCGCAATTTGTAAAATAGTACATTTAAGAAACAAGCAGCTCTACAGTTTTACATTTTTGTTATTTTTTTGTAACCCTTATTTTCGGGGATCAAATCACTACCTACTTTTGGCCTTAAAACTGTAACCTAATCAAGAGTAAAGTAAGTATGAAAAATAGACCACAAACCGAAAACTCGTAATTCGTATCGGTGTTGCTTACCTAAGACAACAGGTTGTCGAAAGTGAACGTCACTAGTGCAGCGTCACGAATGAAATCGAAAAATGTTATGCCGCGGTTCGTATTTATACTCCGGGTTGGTCGTGGGCGGCCGTTGGGCAGTTTCATTGGTTAATGGTTAAAGATAGCGGTGCTTGCTGCGGCGCTCGTGATGATGTTGTCGGTGGCGGCGTGTGGCTGGTTGACTGGCGGTGCGTGTGATAAGCTGTGTTTGGTATCTAGTTACATAGAGCGCGGTAATCTGAAATTTGTATTATGGTGTAAAAACAAATCGGTTGCTTACGGCGAAAAACAGGTAATTGCATATGGTATAAATCATGTTTTAAAACAGATATTATAATTGCATCTTACAATGTAAGATGCAACACAGAATTATGTGAAACTATTTCATTAATTCATTAATTCGTGATAAATCTAACTTTACCATTAGTTTAAATGGTGTTTTTTGTTTTCTGTTCTTAATAAAGAGACAACTCCGTTCTTTGTCATCGGGAAATTTTCTCTTATTAGACTTTTGTTCGAACTGGCAGTTACTCACATTTTTACTAACATGAGATAAATTGACCCCTTTCATTTCTCCGGCACTTTGTATTTTAATTTTTTTTTTTTTCTATTCTCTTTGTTTAGTAAACACTAAATATTAATACAAACACCATTTTCTTTGGCGGTTCAACAATTGGTTTTTTCTCGTTTGTATTAAAATCACTTGACGAAGAAGACGAAGCAGACTATGAACTACAGTGTGACAATCCAGTATCAGTGTGCCGTGATGAACTGTTACAGCAAGAACAATTGCCGTTTAATCTATTTTCGCACTGAGACGATTCTGTTGTTTCGGACAATTACGCATAGTTGTGATCTAATTGTACTCTAATTAATGTCATACGTACTAATCCCTTTGCCAATTGTCGCTGTTTGCGAACGCACTCCCAATAATGGTTCGCATTTTGCCTTGATGACATAACATTTACTTTATAGCGGCAAGTAAAATGGACGGTGTCACTATTAGATGAAATACAAATCGCCATATTTATAAATCAACGTTAACATTCATAATGGTACAAAAAAAGTATAGAAAAATATTTACAGTTTTCAACAGCAAATAAAATGTCTTGCCATATTTTATTTATGATGTAAACAGGCTCAATGCGTTACATGTATACGATAAATAATTATTGCATAATATATTAAACGTAATGACAGCGATTTTTATAGTCGTTGAGTGACTAAATTTTAAATCTGAATCATAAAATTCACGGAAAACCGAAACATGTTTCACCGAACTCCGTTCAGAATCATTTTACGTTACCAATGACTTATCGTTCCGTGCAGACATAAATTCAAATCATTTTATGTATCTTACCTTTTATTTTTGAGTGCCTGTGGGCGATCAGAAATCGTGCTCCGACGTACCAAGTAGACCACCTTTTCCAAAAGACATTTTTTTCTATCTGGTGCGTTGCGAGGTCATTTTTTGATTTTCCCAGAGGTGTTCATAAGAAATAGGAAAAACCGGGAAAAAAATGTATTTGTATAACTGCAAATGTTTATGGCGCGCCACCGAGACGTTTCCGATTTTATTGGCTTTAATTTCTTTTAAACTACGTTTTTTACCAAAACTTTTGCGAAAAAACGACAAAGACCTTTTTGTTAAATTTTTAATTTAGTTAGAAACTTGTTTTTTAGATTTTCAATGTAGTTTTTTTTTTTTGAAAACATAGCATTTTTTATTATTCAGTTTTTTTTTTTTTTTTTTTTTTTTGTTGCAATTCAATTAGAAATATTCGTAGATACTGGAAATGTATATTTACTTTTTATATATGCGATAAAAAAAATTGAACTATTTGTGTGCTATTTATAGATATTCTAATTTTTCGAGATTTTACGTAATTGTTATTTGGCTAGTACATCATTAGTACACAACTGTGTATTTATTTTTCTAGCGAAATAATACGGTATATGATATTATACTGTTAGTGAATTTTCGGATTTTTACGGTCGGTAAAAATGCAGTATGAAAATTATAAAATTCGAGAACTATGCAGTCTGGAACAATACGGTTCACAAAAAAAAAAAAAAAAATTCCGTAATAATACGGTCGGGGACTGTAGGGTCCGCGTATTTATTTTTCCGCCGAAATACAGTCTGGAACTATACGGTTTGTGAAATTCCGGGTTTCCACGGTCTGAGTATTTACAATCTAGAACCTTACGTTATGTACGGTGTTATTTTCCGGGTTTCTACATGCGTCCATTTAGATAATTTTAGCTGATTTAATACGAGCCACTATAGTACCTTGTGAGAAACATCCACGGGCACTTTTGATATTGTAATTTCTGCGAAAACACGAATCCAACAAAATTACAAAATGTCCCTACTGTATTTTATTATTTTATAACGTATTAATTAATTGTAAACTATTTAAAAGTCTTCACGGTTTTTTTTTTTTTTAACATTAGCGCCCTCGGTCCGCTGTGTCCGAGGCCGGTGCATCCATCTCCCCTCTTACTGCAGCTTTACATTTACATTTATTATACTCATGTATTATCGTTTATAATATAGCGCGAGTACCGTTGTTATCGAAACAAACAGTACTTTATTCTAGTTTAATCGGTAGCTAATTATTTCTGTTTCGCGGTTAAAAAACAATAGCAACATAACTATGTTAGGTAATTGGAGGTACTAAAACCCATCCGGAGATGCCCGATTAAAGGCTCGAATGCTGTAGCCGTATTGCTTCCTAAATATTAGTCAAAACACATATTGGCGCACAACATAACGTAGGTATCAGTTTATAAGTGAAATTAAAATTAAAAACTAGTGTTAGTCGGAGTAGAATACTAGATAAAATGAACATATAATTTTTTTTCTTTCTAAGATCCGCTCTAAACAAAAATAGAAAAGTAAATTGAAGCGCTAAATATGACGGACATACTTGTGGATGCAGCCACTGTTGTAGGTGGGTAGTTGGGAAGACAGGATGCAGACGGACATTTAATGTATATCTGTAAACAACTATAAACCATTGCTAACGAAAAAACAATTCTGAGCGGAGTTCAGTTAATAACTGTGTTCTTTTGTCAACAATAAAATGTATGGAATATGTCATATTATGGTAAAATTATTACAACAATGTGCGTTTCCATGACAACAATGATTGTTTAAAAAATACTAAAATGATAAAAAACTCTTTGAAAACAAAAAATAAATAAAAATTGTTGCCAATGACAACCTTATTTTTAATCAAAAGAACCAGGTTTTCCTCAATATCTCAAATATTAATGAGAATTTCAAAAAATTGACCTCTTTAAAGTACCACTCAGGGAACATTTCCTTTCGTAAAAGGTGCTATTCTTGGTAATCGGAGAAAGGTTTATGGTAAAATACAATTTCATTAAAATACACTGTTATTTAATTTATGTTTACAGTAGTAAGGAAATGAGAATACAGCACCCTCATCATCATCCCCCTCCTCCTGCTCCTCTTCATCGACCTATATTTCCCCCCACCCTTTTTTTCAAAATAATTTTTATTTTCAATTATTTTCTACATGCACCACGTACTCGGTCATTTTTAACTACACTCTCTTATTTTTCCCACCATATCAATTGCTTACTTGACTTACTCTTATCGTTATCATATACTTATCACCCTTATGACATGCTATACCTGCTGTTGCCGTTATCATGCACCTATTTTTAAAGTCATACCTGTGATTATTAAATTTGATTTATGTACAAATCTGAAAAAAAAATTATTTTGAAAAAAGGAGTGGGGGAAAATATGGGTCAATGAAAAGGTGGACAAATGATGAGAAGGAGGATGAGGAGGATGAGGGTGCTGAACCATCATCATGAGGAGGGGGAGGAGGAGGGGGATGAGGATGAGGATAAAGGTTCTGAATCCCCATTTTCCTACTACGTTTTTTCCTAGTATAGTTGCTCCGGTTTTTCCGTGTATCAACTTTTCTGAAAGCTCAAGTTATCTATGTTGTACTTAAGAGATCATTTTTTTTTGATTTTCGATACCATTTTTTAACTTTTTGATTTACTTTCTTACGGTATCGTCCACAAAACTTTTGAGCTTATAAGGAATTTTAATTTTTGGAAGTTTTTTTGCTGCAATTTGGTTATAAATACATTTAGAGACTTGAAACTTTATAATAATACTTATATTGGACTTACCTAGACGTGGTGGAATTTTCAAAATCATTGGACGATTTCATTTTTTTTTTAATATACGTTTTGAAACCGAATTTAAACGAAAATCACAAAAAATTATACGACACTTCCAAATTATATATTACCGAACTACGCTCGGAATCGTCTTTCATCAAGCAATGGTTTATCGTTGCTTACAAATATAAATGAAATGACCTTTTGTATCTCGCCTTCCCAACTTCTCACCTGCAACAATAGCCGCTCCAATCCCCAATATCAGCTCTTTTTTTTTATATCGTTCTTAATTTAATCGAGTTAATTATTTTCATTAACTTGCACACCTTTGCTTGTTTGTATTTAATTAATATTAAACATAAACGCACATTTAACACTTGTAGGTAACCTTGATGATTTTTAAAAATTATCCGATTTGTCATATGATATGACAAATATGTTTATGAACCAACACAATAGATACTACGCATCAATTAAATTTATTTACTGTGTATTATATTAGTATATTCTAGTGACTCCATAGGAACGTGAAAAGTACCTGGGTAAAATTGAATTAATATTGCCCATCTATAATTGTTTTCCCTTAGATATATCTTTTTTCTTTCTTTTCCTTTCCCATTATATTTCACTCGGTCATACCGATATACTCTTCCTATCCTTCCCCTGTCCTTACGCATGGCTTTGAAGACCACGATGACAAATAAATTTCACTCCGCCGTTACTTTATTTCTTGTAGATATTGTATCAGGTCTGGGATTCGGTTTTTATTTATTTTCATTTCTCCGTACCTATCCAATATTAAAATGTAGATTTCTCTAATAGAAACAAACCGATAAAGTTGAATAATTTAAATATGTAAATATAAGTTAATGTTTGTTTCATTTCAACAGTTATAACAACAGTATAATATTATATTGTGTATAAACAACAGT